CTGAGGTCTGGTTTACTTTTTCTTGTTCAAACAGATAGAACCTTAGAGTCAAAGAGGATCTCGGTGACTGTCTGGCCCAAGGGACCAGGACAGAGCCACATCTCTGCCTCCCTGGTTGGGTTCCCCCTGTGCCCACCACCCCATCTGGCAAACCTAACTTTCCCACAGTTTCCCTGAGCCCTGGACTGCTTGGGGTGTGAGCAGCCCAGCCCTTCCTCTGTCCTTACTAGTATATTGTTGGGAATGTCAATCAACTCTCTGCACCTCAGTTGCCCTGGCTGTAAAAGGATCAAGCCAACCTACACAAGTCTCAAGTCTCCTCCAGCTGGATAGGCCACAGGTCTGAGTTGGACAGCTTTCCTCTGTAATCAAGTAAGACTTCCATCCCCAGAGGCATCGTTGCCCACCTGTCTCTTCCCTTTTACATCCCCAAGCTCATCTTACAAAGAGGGGCTCAGTTTGATATGTGGTGCCAATCTTCCAAGTACATGATACAATCACAAGACAAGACTAATTCCTGCCAGCCAGCACAGGGAACAAAAACACACTGAGCCCTGGACAAAGGCCTTCAGCTGAATGAGGCTTTAAAACCATCTGTCTGTGGTTGTTTTTACAGGGCAGTGTGTCTCATCCTAGAAGGGGCCGTGAGAACAATGGCCAAGCTATGGTGTGGGAGGTTCCTGGGCTTTTCATCTCTAGCTGCAAAATGCCACACAGCAGCTGGTGGCCATAAAACCAGCTGGGACCAACAGAGCCTGTGGATGGGTCCTTGTCACCTTTGATTACTGCAAAACAAACCCTTCTCTGGAAGAGGACCCCTACCCTCAGCCTTTTTTGCTCTAGGTGTGCAGCAGCAGGCAGGCTCAGGAATATCAGAGCTACCTTGATTTCTACCCACATTGCCTTGCAAACATGTCTATGATTCCTGAGGGAGCAGCAGCCTCAGCATGAAACCACATCCACTCAATGGTATCTTCCACCTCCCCCAACCCCTCAGACCAAACACTTAGAGAAAACCCAAAATTCGAAGACGAAAGAAAGATGCAAATGAGTCAATGGACTTTGTGGTTTGCCCTGTCTTATCTTTGGGGTTAGAAGCATGAGGTCATTTGAAAGCCCTTCTTGGAGTTATTTATCCAGGGCACTTAGAGCAGTGATTCTCAGAATTTAACCAGGAATCACCCGACTTAAAGGTTCTGACCCAGTAGGTCAGTGGTGGGGCCTAAGAGGCTTCATTTCTAACAAATTCCCAGGTGAAATCAATGGTGTGGGTTTGTGGACAAAGTGAGTAGCAAGTGCTTAGGAGGCTTCCCAGGGCCTCCTGTCTTCAAGAAGTACTGGAGTTGAGACTTATCAATGCCCTCGATTTTGCAGATGAGAGATGGAAACCCAGATGTGAAAAGGGGTTTGTCCCAGACAATTCAGCAAATTAGTGGCACAATGCAAAACAACCTTGTAAATGCTTAGCCTGTTTGAGGTCACCTGTTCTACATCAGAAGGGAAGCCAGCAGGCCTTGAGTCTGTGTGAAGAATCAAAGCTCTCGTCTTTGTTGACCTTTTACAGTCTATATGTTTCTGGCCATAATACAGAGGCTTTGCGGTACTTTAATCAGAAAGAAGCAGCAGAGTATCTAGTGGTTAAGACCAGAAACACGATGTTTAATTTCTTGCCAGAGCTGGGCAGAGTGTATGGTAGGCAGATAAAATACAGGACGGCCAGTTAAACTTGAATTTCAGATGAAGAATAATTTTCTAGTTAATTATGTCCCCTGCATACTGAGATATATTTACACTAAAAAAAAAAAAGTATTTGTCGTTTATCTGAAATTCAAATTTAACTGGTATTCTTGCATTTTTATTTCTGGCAAAGTGGGGAAAAAAGAGAGTAGGGATTAGGTAACAAGGAACATTTCCTGCTTCATCACTGTTGACCTTAAAGAAAACCACAAGGATGCTGATGCTCCACCAGGATGCACCACTTCCTACTCCAACAACCGTGCCCATATCCTCTTTCGGTTCATGTCTCTGAATGAAGCTTAAACTTAACTAACTTATAATGTGATAAAAGCATACATTCATGGCTGGTTAAGCGTTGAATTGTGTCTCCACAAAATCTGTATATTGAAGTCCTAATATCCAGCACCCCAGAATGTGACCTGATTAGGAAACAGGGTTGTTGCAAGTGTAATTAGTAGAAGAGAATGGGCCCCTAATCCAATATGACTGATGTCCTTATAGAAAGGGGAAATTTGGGCACAGAGACAGACATGCACACAGAGTGAATGTCATATGAAGATCAGTGTTACGCTGCCACAAGCGGAGAACTACAACAACTAGCAGAGAGGCCTGAACAGATTCTCCCTTAGAGCCTTCCGAGAGAGAATGGCCCTGCTGACTTTGATCTTGACTCCTAGCCTCCAGAACCGTGAGACAATAAACTTCTGTTGTTGAAGCCACTCAGTTTGTGGTGCTTTTGTTACCGAGGTCCTATAAACAAATGCTTGGAGCTAGGAAGAAGGGAGTAAGTAGAAGTGGGAGCAACACAAAACAGGCAAGAAAATTTATCAACATTACCATTAGCTATTTTCCATAAAAACTTGAAAACCTCAGTTTGGAAGACACAGGGATTTAGAAATGGTAGAGTACTTGGTATGAAAAGTACTCTACCACTGCTCTACTAAAATTCAAATTTTAAACATTAAACATTTGAACAAGTTACACACTATCTAAAGAAGAAACCTTAGAAATCAGAATTCACCTTGGTCATACAAGGATACATTTCCAAGCACCTCCAGCCTTAAAGAGATTGGGGGAAGGGTTTTAAAATTCACAACTTCAACAGACCCATTACTGTGAACTGTTTTTTTCCCACGAGAAGTTTGCTTTCCTCTAGTATTTACAAACCAAACATTACTCTACTGGGCTGGTGGTTAAAGAGCTCAAAACAAAATTAAGCAGGCTATTCTGATTTCATTGTCTCTCTTGATTATTTGCTTATTGTGTATTTCCAATAGCTCCAAATGACAAGATTTAAACAAAAGATAGGCTATTTAACGATGCTTTGTCCTCTCTTTTTTTCTGAAGTAAATGAAATCTCCTCAATTCAGTATGAATTTTAATGTTCTTTCACCTTTACCTAGGCCTTGTTCTGGCCTGCAGGATTCCAGGAGCAGAACTCAATAGCCTCTCCCTAGAAAAATACCAAACCTAGCTGGCTCCAGTCACACTGGCCTTCATTTACTAAACGTGCCAAGGTGGTAGTTCCTCGGTTGACACATTTGTACGTGCTGATCTCTCTGCCCAGACTGTCTCTCTGTACCCCCAATACAACTTCCTACACATAGCTCAAATACGGCTTCTCAGAAACATCTTCTGTTATGACTTTTATTTTTCCTTATCACATAACCTTAGAATTAGATGGCAGAGAGTATTTTGGCAATACGTATATAAAACTTTAAAAATTTACATACTACTTGACCCAGAAATTCCAGTGATAAAAATTTATCCTAAGAAAATAATCACAAATGCATGCAAAAATTTAGACACAAGAATGTTTACGGTAGCACTGTTTACAAAATAAAAACTAGAAACTTAAATATCCAATAATATGGGACTGAATAGAAAATTTGCGGTAATCCTCATTAAGAAATACTCTACAGCTTTTCAAAATGTATTATGGAATGGAATAATAATTAGTGAAATGGAAAAAAGGTTCATGATATACTAATAGCAGAAGAAGTGGGTTATGAATCAATATGCCAAAATGTTAACTGTAGTTTTTTGCTGGATGGTGGGGTCATTTGTGACTTTTATCTTATGTTTATTTGTATTTTATAAATCTCCTCTAAAAGGTATGTATCACTCATATAAATGTATTTTGAACGTTTATTTAAAATTAAATTTTAAGCGGTCACAGAAAGATAAACACTATGTGATTAAACGTGCACAAGGTACCTAGAACAGTCAACTTCAGAGACAGAAAGTAGAATGGTGTTTGCCAGGGGCTGGGGCAGGGGCTTAATTGTGAGTTGTTAGTTAATAGGTACAGAGTTTTACTTTTGCAGTATGAAGAGTCCTGGAGATGGATGGTAGTGATGGTTGTACAACACTGAGAATGTACTTAAGGCCACTGAACTGTACACTTAAAAATGGTTAAGATAGTAAATTGTATGTTATCTATATTTTACCACGATTTTAAAAAACTTAAAAAATTAAAATCAGTAAAGCATAAGTACAGCTGGGTCTAGGGGTGTCTTAGTTACTAAGATTTTTAAGAGCTAGGAGAGAGAAGCCTGACTTTGACCGTGGACCACATGCCATTGAGCAAGATAATCCACTGTGCTCACCAGTGCTGGAGGGTGCCTTGGGACCAGCAGGCATTTGCCTGGATTCCTGACTACTATTGCTGGCCATGACGTTTTCTGTCCCTTCTTTCATGACCGTGAAGTTTTCATCCTCTCTTGCCAGGATCCCTTAGTTGATTCTCATATGAAGGAACTGACTTGGCTGCCCCAGAAGCGTGACTTCTCTCAGAGCCTGGCTACAGGGACTGGTAGAGGCAGGGGGATGGGGCAAGCAATTCCAGAAAAAATTCAAGGTTACATCCTCCATAGGCCATAGGTTAAGGTATTTGTCCCCAAAGTCCATAAGCTAGTCATTGGTAGAGCCAGGTAAAGAAAGGAATCTCACCTTAAAGCTTAGACAATTCACCTCTCTACTAAAAAATGAAGAGAATTTAGATTCAGCTAATAAAACTTCCTTCTCTATTCATCAAGAGGGTACCCAGTGCTTTGCAATGAGAAAGAGGAACGATGCCTGATGCCTGGTGGTAGGCCTGAGGGCTGGATGTGGCCTGCAGCTGTATCATCACAGTGGTAGGATGTTGGATGCTGAGTTCAAATATCTAAAAAGATCATACATGTACACAGGAAAAAGAAGTTTTCCAAGTCCTTCAGAGTTAACAGGGCCAGGGAAAGATAAGAAACTAGTGCTTTGCTTACCTGCTGTAGGCACACTAACGTTATACTGAGGTAAAATAAATAGGAAGGCAGTCTTGGCAGTGACCTGTAACATAAAGGAAAAAAGTTCCAATTTAGTGTATTGGACACATCAAAAGAATCAAGTGGAGCCTGCTACCAGCCCCCAGGGCCCACCTCTTTTATATCTCAGACACACAGGCCTCTCCAATGAAGGGTTTTACCTAAATCAGAGTTAAAATCATTTTTTTTCTTTCATTTTTCTTTAATAACATCCCTCCCACTACCTGCACTAAAAACAAACAAAACAATCCTGGACCCTGGATGGTATTTAGACTTCGAATCACTGCAGATAGAATGAAACAAGCTGTGCATGGCCAGCTGAGAGCTCACAAGCTAAGGGTACACATCTGTCAGCCATTCATTCATTCATTCATTCAAGTATTAAGTTAATTCTAGGTAGCCAGCATTACGAAAGCCCAAAACTAATAAAAAATAAGATCACAGCTTTCTGGAAGCCTAGGACCTAGCTGAGGTTTCCCCAAGCATGTTGGTTAACTGCACAGTGGACAGCGGCCCCAAAAGTCTAAATCTGAGCTTAAGAAACAGAGAATTCCAGCTGCTAATTTCACATCTACCCTACTGTGGGGCATGGGGCAAAACATAACCCCCCGCACTGCTGGTTTGTTTATTTCAAAAGCTGCCTTTAAAATCTTAGTTGCACTCTCCAAAAACTGCGTTTGTCACCTGGTTATTAATAGCCAAATCAGTACTCTGGCAATTTAGGGAGGAGATTACAAAATGGCAGTGGCAGGGGTGGGGGGGTGTCGAAGCTTGGACTCAAGAACAGAATTGGCTGCCTGGGTTCCAATGCTGTCTCTGCTATTTGCGGGCTATGTAACCACAAGTAAATCATCTTATACCTAGAGCCTCCCTTTCCCTGTCTGTAAGATCAGTGATATCTGTAATACCCCTGATGGTCTGGGTGACATTGTCTAAAGCTCCCCAGATGTTTCTGATACACAGGTGGGGCTGAGAAGCACCACCCATACTGTTCTGGAGCACATAAGAGGCCAGGTGAGGAGGAGGTTAAGACCCAGGCCTTTTCCAGGAGGCCTCTTGAGACACCTCAACATAAAGAGTTACTGCTTCTCCTCTGAAAAAAAAAAGGTGTGAACAATGCACCGTGGGTGTGGTAAATACACACTGGGCGTGGCAAAAGCGGCATGACAACCAGAAATGATGTACTGCTGCCCCTCCAAGTCACTGGGACTCCTGAAACACCCAGAGAGGGGTTAGTATATCCTTAGCCTTCTCTATCCATTAAAGAGCAAAACATTCCCCATCAACCAGACCCATTTCTCTACAGGGGGTCATTTGCTCTTTGTACAGAGTGAGGCACAAGCCTTCCTGTGTGTGTGCTATTGTCTCAGCCATGTTGTCACGCTTACAAGGAAAAAGTCAAACGAGACTAAGTATGAGAAGGTGCTCTGGAAGACACAAAGTCCTTTCCAAATATACAAGTCAGAATTCTCTACCTCCACCTCCAAATCTGATTACTGTTGTCCCCAACACCTTTTTCAGAGTAATCCCAACCTTCCTTCCAATCTAGTCGCTTCTATTTCTTTAGAAGAAATGTACTCTGTTTCAGCCAAAACATACTACTCACTACTTCCTTTTGAGGGTTTCTCACTTTGTATCCTATTTCTATACCCTCCGCAAAACCCCAAAAAACCCTATAGATCAGAATCTCACTTATCTTTCATAACCCAGCTCAACTGTAACTCTTCCATGAAGCCTCCCCCACCTGCTCATAGGGTATGATGTCTCTTCTACCTGAAGTGCCCTGTACCACACCCCACTGTGCCATCGATTCCATATGCTCCTTTATAGCTCTCCTCAGGTAGCACTCCTTGAAGGCAGGGACCGTGTTGTCTGTTTTCATACCCTTTTCAAGTAATCAACCCACATGCACACAGTAAGGGCTCAGTAACTACTAACTGGATAGGAAGAAAAATAAAAAGCTGAGTCTGTACTGGTTGCTTCACTCAACTGTATTTGGTCCTCAGTGCTGTCACCTATCTGTCACCCACAGCCTTCTCCCTGAGACCCATCCAGCTGCTAAACCACCTGAACGTGCCGCCACCACCACCACTATCACTCCAGCCACGGTGGCCTCTTCTTGCCTGGACTCTGCCCATGTTGGTCATCCTTGACCCGACCCTCCATCTATATTGCGTGCCATGACTCCTTCAAGGGTGGACCTCATCTTCTCAGGATGAAATCAAATGAGAGAAGATCAGAAGAAGCTTTACAAAATGAGAGAAAGGAAGGAGAGAGGAGAAAGGCAGGCGGGCAGGCAAAAAGAAAAATTTACCCAATACTGTACTGTGCCCTGGGCACAAATCTCTCATGTGGTTTCATTCAGAAAATACACTCATCTTTTAAGTTCATGGAGTGGACTAGAGTAGAGGGGGCCTCGTGACGTTTTGGCTGACCAGCATCCACTCCCCCTTCTTACTGGACTGGCACAAGAGTTTCCTGAGGCAACAATTCTCCTCAACTGTGTCTGAGAGCAGGGTGCGTGTGCTGGGGGGAGGGGGGGGCGGAAGGATGGTCACTGAGGTGACTGCATTCCTCCTGGAAGGATGAAGGGGCCAGATACCCTCCCCAGGACAGAAGACTAACCAATCAGACAGCCTCTCCTGGGCTCTGAACCTTGGGCGGGAATAAAGTGAGTGCCAGTGCCGGTCAGTGACGTGATGTGTGCCTACCCAAACTGCTTTGCTGTGGTTCCCACAGCCTTGCCCCTGGAGTACCCCATCAACCATGCAAACCCCCAGAGAGCTTCCTTAGGTTGACCAAAATCCATTTCTAAGATACATTATAATTCCATGTGTAGCATGCTGGTGTTCAACCCTGACTGCACATTCAAATCCCTGGGGAAGCTTTTAAGCTCTCTATGCCTGGGCCACCCCCAGCCAATTAAGCCTGACCCTTTGGGGCATCAGCATGTCGGCAAGCTCCCCAGAGCATTCCAATGTGCAGCCAAGTCTGAGAGCTACACATGCAGAACCTGTCTCTCATCATCCTCTCGAAGCAGCCCTCTCTGTCCAGTCTGTCTCAGAATCTTTTGTGTCCTTCACAGAATTTGTTTAATTTAATCGATGTTTTAAGTACGCTTTTATTTTAACTTCAAAAGATATACACATCCTTTAAAAATCTGAAGCAATTCGGAAAAATGTTAAAAAAAAAAACACAATATTCATTCTACGTTCTTTGCTTTCCTTCCTTTCCTAAGCTCATATTCATGTCTCCCTCCACATGTTTGGGGCCAATTCTCTGAAAGCTTTTCCTATGCATTTATTCTTATGGGATTTATTTCATTTTATTTTGACATTATAACTTGGACTGTGTTTATACAACTTGACCCAAGGGATGAAAGAGTGAAAAAATTTTTAAAGAGCTACAACTTATTAAGTAATATTTAAATCACTTTAGCTCTGTTGGTCAAATGATTGTTGCTGTATCATATAGAGATACCTACTACGTGCTCAGCACTGGGATGGAGCCCAGGGAGAAAGAGAGGACACACACAAAATTATAAATGTGGACGGATGACAGGCTGAGGGTTACGTAACAGCACAATACTGGCTCTTCTACTTAATCGCTATATTCATTTAACAAGCCCTTACTGAGTGCTGGCTGTGTTCCAGACACTGTTTCAGGCTATGGATTGAAGATAATGAAGGCAAGTAAGATCCCCACTTTCCTAGAACTTATACTCCAGTGAAGGGACACTTTAAAAACAAGCACAGATAAATCCTATAAAGCTGTCCTTACAATGGATGGATTTTATAGTGTATAAAGTATACCTCAATACAAAGTGCTAAAAAAATTTTGGCCCTAATGGAGCTGGTATTCAGGTTTGCCCCAGTGCAACTGATCCTCATTCTTCAGAGATTGTGTATCTGAAGGAGGAAGGAGTGATCAGCCTTCATGTCCACTGATTAAAAAAACAAAAAAACTTTCAAAAAAAGCAACTCTATTTCTTCAGCATAAAAACCACTCTCTGTGCTTTAAAAGGTCTTTTGGAACCCCAAAACTTCACTCTATAACCCTCTCCCAGCCTCAGACCAGGGACAAAACAACCAATAATCTCTTCTCTGCAAGCACTGGCTGGGCTTATTTAAAGCAGAGAGCTGAGAAACAGGCACCCATTAAAAATGTCTTTTCAATTATTTCCCATCCCTCTAAAGCTGTTTATAGGAAACATTATTGAGTTTAATAGCATTTTAAATGCCACGTTCAGCGGGTGAAAGGTCAAAAGTGACAATGTGCTAATACACTAATGCAAAGGGAGAACACTAAATTATGTAGGAGGGGCTCGCGCGCGCGCTCTCTCTCTCTCTCTCTCTCTCTCTCTCTCTCTCTCTTTCTCTTTCTCTCTTTCTCTCTCTCTCTCTCTCTCTCACACACACACACACACACACACACACACACCGCACCATTGAACTTTTAACAAAAACAGCGCCAACCCCGCACCATTGAACTTTTAACTAAAACAGGGCATCAAACCCAAAGGCAATGACATTGAGCATGTTTGTGTAGCCATAATAAAACCAAAACCGTTCCACATGCCATGCTCTATTAGGGACACACGAATCTGAGCTCTTGGTTGCAACGAGACCAAGGATGCTGGTGAAACAGCTGCTTGCAGCAAAGTGTAGTGAACTTGGACTCCGGCCCCAGTTCTGCTGCAGGGCAGCTGGGTGACCTCAGGCAAGGGATTTTAACCCCTGGACTTGTTTTTCATCCATTAACAACAACAATAATAATGGCAATTAATGTTATTAAGTGCCTACTCAGTGCCAAGAACAATTCTAAGTGCTTTATATAAATGATCTCACGTAGTTCTCACAATGACTACAGCGTGGATACTAACAATATCCCCATTTTACAGAAACATGGAAAGGACAAGGCCAATTGAAGTGGTTAGAATGGATGTCCTTAAAGGTCCTCTCCGGCCTCAGCCCGAAAAGGCTCTCATTTCCTGATTTCACTTATTTGTCAACACCAGAAACAGCC